CCTCAGAGTGATACTACATCAGTTCATTGTGTACATCTCATTCATACATATGTATCAAGTATATACAATATTTGTCAATTATACTTAATAAAGCTAGAGAAGAAAAACTGTATCAAAAATCCCAACAGCACCATCTAGTGGCCTCACAGCATTATACTACCCAGTTAAAGGAAAATACCTAACTCAGGATTAACAGAAAAGACTGGATTGGCTTTGGGCAATATAAATGGCAGCAGTAACAAACCTGGGAAGCTATCTCCCTCCTGAAATCACTTCTAGTTTTGTTTCCGTAACCTGGATATGGAGAAGAGATCAGTCCCATCCACTGCTGGCAGTTCTTGCATACACACGCAGTCTGCTTACCTTACAATCCCTAACCTCTTACTAGGGAATGACAATTGTGTAAATTAACAACAAATAAGGCTCCAATCAAAGATTATCTACTATAGGGTTGGAGAGATAGCTCGGTGGTTTAAGTGCCTACCTGGAAAGTACAAGGACCCGAGTTCAATCCCCAAGACCTCATACAGTGTGGGCTCCACACCAAGCCAGCCACTGGAAACCAGGTGTGATAATGCATGCCTATAATCCCAGTGCTGGGCAGGCTGAGACAGACAGGAGCATCACTATGAGTTCGAGTTGTAGAGTATGACCCTGTACCAAATAAATAAATACTTTTTTAAAAAAAGTATTATCTCACAAAAGTTACATTTTTAGTTATATAGGTCTTGATTTAACTTGGTCTTAACCATCCAGCAGAAAAGTATAAACAAGTATAACCACGAGGTATGAAAAGTAATGCCATATTAATATGCTGAGCTGGAAAAGGTTCAGGTCAACAACTTCTGACATTGCCAATTCTGCTGATAACCCACTCTATTATGGACTACTGGACTATACTGGGTTATTTTGCTGAATTCAAGCACCTACAATATATGAATGGCAATGGAACACCCATCTCTGACAAAACAAAAAAAGGGGGGTATATAAATGAAAGACCACTTTGTAGTGAATATATATGTATATACAGAATAGTTAGAATAGATATACAGCTACTTTCTCTTAGTTCAATGAGAAGAAAGATTTGTACTAATAGTGTTTAGAAGATATCATGTCTGCATCTTGTACTCTGAATAACTACTATGAAGACAACAATATGCAATATATTATTTATATTGCATCCTACTAATCTGTTTTTGTTTGTTGGTTTGTTTTGTGGGACCAGGGACTGAACTCAGGCCCTTGTGCTTGCCAGGCAACCATTTATTCAACTGAGTTATCTCCCCGGCCCCCATACTAACCTGTTTTGAAACAGTCTCATTGCTATTTGTTTCTCATTAAAATTAATTAAAAATATTATCTACTATATTATATATTGATGAGTTGCTTCCACTTTCATAAAAAATACAAGAGAAATAAAGAAATTACTAACTCTATGCTATCTCATTTCTAGATCTTTATTAACTGCCCTGATGAACTTAGGAAGACCAAGTAATAACTTCTTCCTATAAAATAAATTATTATACATAACAAAACACTAAGATTTTTATAATACATCTAGAAAGAGAACAAGGATGAGCAGCTACAAAACTTTTCTTACCCGACAAGCATATTTGCACTACTTCTACCACATCTTTCCTCAGAGCTTTACATTATAGTACAGATTATTTAAATGTATTTCACCCCCAAAATAACTAATGAGGGCTGGGGAAATAGCTCAGTAGAATAAGTGATTGCCTGGCAAGCTCAGGGTCCTGAGTTCAATCCCCAGTACTGCAAAAAAAAAAAAAAAAAAACTAATGGCCTATAATGTTTCTCCAGCCATGGTGTTCTGTGGTTGTAAATAGAGTTAAGCATGTCCTAGGTTAAAAATCTCCACCAACCACAGGAGTGAGTTTCACTAATCCTAATCCAGATAAAATATTTTACCTAATACTGTATGTTACCTAAAAGCCCTCTTGAAGAAATCAAGTATTTTCATTCATATTTCATTCTCCAACAGAATTCAAAGCTCTTAAATAGAAATGGATAGATAGAAATATACAAAACTATTCTCTTTCATTGAAAAGAATCATAAATTTATTTAAAATGAAAACTTATAGAATATAAAGTATTGTGACTTACAATATGGAAATATATTTCATCTAAGTCTTAAAGTTTAAGAGGAAGCCCATCAGGCACACATAGCTGGGAAAGGAGAAAAAAGTGTTTTCAGGGTGCCTGTGAGACTCAAATCCTTCTCTGGGCAGCAGAATGCTTTTGAATGTCACATCACCTTACAAATCTTGCTTACTAGTCAAAAAGTATCCATAACACATATGTATAAAAACAGAAACTTTGAAACTGCTGGACAATAACACAAGGGAAACAAAGTCATGGGCACAGACAAGAACTTCTTCATCAGGACTCCCATAGAACAGGAAATAATACAAAACAAACAACAAATAAGATTACATCGATTTAAAAATTCCTGCACAAAAAAGGAAATAATTGACAGAATGAAGAGACTACCTACAGAATGGTAAACTGTTGGCAGTTAGTCTTCTGTTAGAGGACTAATATCAGAATATATAAAATATTTAAAAAATTAACTCTGCCAAAACAAATAACCCAATCGAAAATGGGCAACTGTACTGAATCGATATTTCTCAAAAGAATACAAATAGTGGGTTAGCCAAATACCTCAGCAGATTAAAGCATCTGCAAGCAGGCACAAGGGCTGGGAGTTCAATCTCTGGGCCTGCTGTGCTGGTCCTGGGGCATGCTGAGATGGCAGTTGAGACTGGGCGTGGTGGCACACGCCTGTAATCCCAGCTCTTGGGAGGCTGTAAACAAACAGATCACTACAGTCTGATCTAGTAATGAGACCCTGAACACCCTGTAGACCCTTCGCTAAAAATACAAAAAAATAAATAAATAAGAATTTTTTTTAAAAAAAGAATACAAATGGCAAGTGTCTCAGTTACTCTTTTCTCACTGCTGGAACAAATATCTGACACTCAAAATGAAGGAAGGAAAGGTTTATTTAACTCATAGTTACTGGAGGTTTTAGTCCATACTCAGCTGGCTCCAAGGCAGAGTGGCACATGGCAGAAAGCAGCAGTTTCTGGCTGTAAAAGGCAGCAAAACAGCAAGAGAAAAAGGGAAGAATAGCAGCAGCAACAATGGCTACAGAGAACAAGTCTCTCGCCCTTAAACTGCATTCAGGCTATCTGCCCCAGGCTGGGAGTAGTACTCACACCCATAATCCCAGCAACACTCAAATCCATAATCCCAGTGAATCATGAGTTAATCAGAAATTTGAAGTCTGCCCCATGATTACATGAGGCTTTGGGGAGAAAAATACACACAAACAATAACAGCAAGTAAGTAAATTAAATACTTATCATCATTTGACAAAATGTAAACCTAAATAACTCTAAGATTCCATCTAACCCTGCTTAGAAAAGCTATTGTCAATAACAAAAATGGTGGCAAAGATGTGAGGAAAAAGGAACCTTTCTACATTGTTGGTAGGAATATAAACTAGTATAACCACTATAGAAATCAGCATGGAGATTTCTCAAAAAAAAAAAAAAACTAAAAAGAAATTCATTTGACCCAGGCCTGCCATGCAGCCCCGCCCCCAGGGCACACTGAGATGGCAATTGAGACTGGGCATGGTGGCACGTGCCTGTAATCCCAGCTCTTGGGAGGCTATAAACAGGAGAATCACTATGAGTCTGATCTAGTAGTGAGATCCTGAACACCCTGCAGACCCTTTCCCTAAATACAGAAAGAAAGAAAGAAAGAAAGAAAGAAAGAAAGAAAGAAAGAAAGAAAGAAAGAAAAAAGAAAGAAA